AGCGGATTTTAACTCATGAGAGACAATAAATACATCAAAAGCAATGTGGGTGGTTCTCGATTTTCCTTGGTTGTGCAATATCTCCTCATAGGTCATAACTTATTGGCACAGACAACATGACATTTAACTCTTCCACTCCTAAAAGGAGTATCTGTTGGCATTCTTGGGGCATCAGACAAGAAAGAAAGAACAAATTGGTTGAAATCATGGCTCTTTGAAGGCAAGAACCCATTCGAAGCATCAGGGGATGTACATTGATGAGATCAAGGAAACCACCCGCGTGGCTGGAGCCGGTGTCCCCAAACGCCCACTTGTCGTCTCCAGACCAACGGTACCCTCTCACCCAGTCCTCACCATCTCCTGCCTCCTTGGTATTTCCGCTTGGATACTTGTCAGCCATATCTCAAATTCGGGCTTTCCACTTGTGGGAGCCACCCCTTCCAACTGCCATCTTTGCAAACGGCACCCGTGTCCCTGCAACGGCTGACACGAAACAGCAAGAAGCCATCTGTCGTGAACACTTTTTCCTCTTCCTTTGCACCCCTTCCCCACAACCAATTAGCAGCACGTCCAGTTCCTTCTACTGGCCATGCGTGTCCAGAATCCAGGCGTCCTTTGCCACTTCTGATGCCCGTGTTGTGGGGCAGGCCATCACCGCCCACACAACCTGGGGCAACCACCCTCTCCTCTCCTGTCCCTGTGTCCTGTGCTGTTTTAGCCACCCAGCTCTGATCGCCACCCCTAGTCCTATGTTTTTCCTCCACGCCTGGGTCCTTTCAAAGCCAGGTCCTCCCCATCCTTCAACGTCAACCTAAAGATAGCTCTTATCTTAAACATCCAGAGAGTAGGGACAGGTTTACACTCATCCAATACTACCTAAAATTTCAGAGATGCCTTCGATAAGCGCTGAAGCTTGTCCCAGAAGAGACTCTCAGGGAAATCACCAGCAATCAGGGCCAGCTTCCTGATGCCTGACCCATATTGTCACACGCTAGTCCCTCCCCCAAGGAATGGCCCGCCTGGCTGAATGCCCTGCCCTCCCTGTCCCCACATCCTTAAGGATTTACAAAGAAGGAGCCCAGGGTTTTAATTCTGCAGTGTGCCCCTCAACTGACATAGCACATCCTGACCCCAAAGGAGGAGGCCCCCCAGGCTGATTGTGGTTATGGCATTATTACTCAGACTGAGAACCTACAGAGGTAGGTTTAGATGCACAAACCCTGTCTTTGCAAATATGCCAATTATACGTGTTTGTTGCAACTGGGTTTTGGGAACGGTCCCTCAGGGTGACAGGGCGTCTGGATCACTGAGTAAAACTCTGCTAAAAGGAAACAAACATTTCTTTACAGTTAAGAAAGGACACAGGGGAGAGACACATGAGGGGATATTTGCATTTTCTTGGTGGAAGCTTTGCTTGCCTTTTATCTAACTGCAGTGGGAAAGGGGGGAACCTGGGTGGCTCAGTCGGTGAAGCATCCAACTCTGGATCCCAGCTCAGGGTCTTGACTCATGAGTTCAAACCCCAGGTTGGGCTCCACGTTGGGGGTGTGATGGCTGGACAACTGTCCCTCACACCAAATCCTTGTCCCCGAGGAATCCAGATGTCCCATAGACATTGTCCTTCCGGGATACTTGGGCTGAGTCTACCTCCCACCATGTTCTGGACACTCACTCTGGCCAGAGGCTGGGGTGGAGCCCCAGACACCACATAATGCTAGCCCTACAGGTCTTCACTGTCTATCAATCCATCCAAGTTGGGATTTCCTCCTGAAACCCCAGGGCATCCAGAGTCACATTCCACGAGAGATTTTGAGTCTAAAATGCCATTGGAGGTAGGTCCACCATTTCCTTAGACGCGCTATGTGCAAGACTGGAAGAGTAGATGGTGAGGGCAACAAAACATCAGAATCACTTGCATGCATATCCCACCTCAAATTATCATTTTCGCCCCATCCCTGGAACAGGAGGGTCTCAAGACAAGAGAAACGATGCATCTTTGGTCCACATTTGTCTGGATTTTTCCAGGTGTCTGATGAATGCATCACCATACTCAGGATGGATGAACAAAAACTCATCACAAATAGTAGTTGTAATCAACGTGTGATTGCTTAGAAAATTCCAGATGGTGAAGTATGCATGCTGAGTATTGTCTCTAGGTCTGACTGTGTTTCTTTAATTTTTTGCTTTCTGCTATTCTTACCAGAAAATGTGTGGTCATAACCACACACACCACCCCCCATCTTACCTTGTAACATAATTACCTCTTAACATGAACAAAGCAGGTGGGGGTGAATTTCTTGACCCAATCAGAGGGGAAACATTGAAAACGGGGTCCATGCCTTGCAAATTCCTTTTTCTGGAATGGAGTTGAAACTTATGCTTTTTGGTTTTTTTTTTAAATGAAAGATGTGTATACATTTAAAAAGTTGTTTCTTAGGAATTTTGAGTCAGGGATGCACACAGCTATATTAGTGTGCCCCCTTGTGGTTAAATTAATCTAATGATTAAAAGCATCTAACACTCAAGAAAGCTTAAATTATTAAGTATTGAGGATGGGGGAAAAAAGAATTTTTTTATGTATAAAATAATTTTTATAGCATTTTTAGGTTCCCGGAAATATTGAAAAGAAGGTGTAGCTTCCACAATACCAAGTTAGGAAAAAACACTTTTAAGTCAGTATATGTGTGGAGACAATTTTATGATTTATAACTCTATCTGGGACAATGGTTAACCAATGGCCCTTTTGACAAGTGGCCAAGACATGCACCATTTTGATCTATGACACGCCTTACATTCTAACCCACATATTTTTAGGTATCTTCAAAACAGTTCATCAAAAAGGAACTATTTACCTAGCATTCTGTGTGGGACCGGGTGCTAAGTCCTTTACAGGAATTATCTCCAGGAATCTCCACGCAAGTCCTGTGATGTGAGTGTGGTTGTTACCTGCATCTTTTAATTAACATTCTTTTTTTCTTAAGTTTATTTATTAATTTTATTTTTTTTTAACGTTTATTTATTTTTGAGACAGAGAGAGACAGAGCATGAACAGGGGAGGGGCAGAGAGAGAGGGAGACACAGAATCTGAAACAGGCTCCAGGCTCTGAGCTGTCAGCACAGAGCCCGACGTGGGGCTCGAACTCACGGACCGCGAGATCATGACCTGAGCCGAAGTCGGATGCTCAACCAACTGAGCCACTCAGGCGCCCCGGTTTATTAATTTTCGAGAGAGAAAAAGACAGACAGTGAGTGGGGCAGGGGAAGAGAGAGAGGGAGTCACAGAATCCAAAGCAGGCTGCAGACTCCGAGCTGTCACCAGCACAGAGCCCGATGCCGGGCTCAAACCCACAAGCCATGAGATCATGACCTGAGCCAAAGTCGGACACTTAACCCAACTGAGCCACCCAGGCATCCTTATTATTGACATTTTATACACAGAGACACTGAAGCCGTAAGTGGGCCAAAGACACATGGCTGGGGACAAGGTCAACTGCTATTGAATTCCGTACACCATTTGTCTCGACTCTACAGATGTCAAGAAATCCAAGAAATCCAATGCAGGATGGGAAGGTGTCCTTGACTATACATGGCTTGCTTTTTCCTGCAGGCTTCACTTCAGTGTGTGACTTGGGGACGTAGAAGGAAGAGAGCTGGGACCTAAGAGCACTCCTGAATCATGTGTCACCAACCTGCAGTCTGGAGTGGGCCACCCTGGTCAGTGTGGGATGTGGCCTTTCTTGGTCAATCCCTTTAACCACCCCCTACTCTGTCTCCTTCACCCATAAAATAAGGGGGCTTGGTGAGAAGGTCTCAGAAGATCCTTCTCAGGCTAAAGTGGTCCGATTCTCCTCTGTGACATCCTAAATTCAAAATGAATCTTCTCGTAAGATGTGTCATAAAATCAGGATGTGTTGGAAGTCTTAGGACAAGCAGTGTTAGAGAGATGATGCAGCCTGTGTAACTAATCCTTTCGTGAACTAATACAGTCCAAGAAGGCTGCCTGAGATCACTCAGGAGACAAACAATACCTGACATTAACACGGTTATTTGTGTTTGATAGTTGTGTATGGGGTCTTGGGGTGTGTTCTCCTGAGCATGTGACTCAACAATTTCCAAGCCCCGGTTGGTTATTTATTGGTTTATTATTGGTTATGTGAACGTCATAACCCCTGGTACCTGTGAATGTTCCCTTCTTTGGAAATAGGATCTATGCAGATGTTAAGATGACGTCTTACGAATCCAATGACAGGTGTCCTTTTAAAGAGAGGGGGGCTTGGGGACAGGCACACAGAAAGGGAAGGAGACCGCAGGAACACGTTGACGGGAACCAGAGCGATGTGTCTATAAGCTGAAGGACCTTGAGGATTGTGGCAACCACCAGAAGCTGGGACAGATCCAAGCAGTGAAGGATTCCACCCATAGCTTCAGAGGGAGCACAGCCGTGCAGATGTCTTGATTGTGGCGATCTATCAAGGCAGCCCAAGCAAACTCGTGCAAGGACTCCTACCCAAATCATGGAGGGGAAGTTAGACTCCAACAAATCTCTGGCACATCCTCAGGGGGAAATCCACGCACCTGCCCCTCCCAAGCCTTGGATGGACTACTCCCCATTCAGTTTCTGTGGATGAAGATAAATCCGTTGGCTCAGCAGCCTACGGGTACTTTAGACTAGTTCCTTTCAACGCATTATTATTTAATCCATATTATTTTTCAACTACCCAATTATTTCAATGACTCAATACAAATTCAATCATAATTTCAATGATTATTCTTTAATGGTTGATTTTTTTTTGTTTTTGTTTCCCCATCAATGGTGCACACAGGACCTAGATACACATTTATCCCCAAGAACAGAGAAGAAGTTGACAGATAGCATCACCACCAATGGGCATTTAGTCATCTGGAACAGAAGACGAACCCATGGGCTCTCCAATTCCTTCCTTGAAATTTTGCAGGTGGCACGATCGGTTGACTTTGTCTGCCTGTGCTCCATCTTTTCCTCATGCACCCACGGCAGATGTGTTCCCTTCTGTGTCGCACAGACAAAATGGGAACACCCCACAGCAAGGCTTTAGCCATATGTTGCCCTGATTCAATTCAGAAATCTGGTGCCGGACAGGAATGATGCTTTTCTTGTGTTCCTTCACAGCATTGGCCACCGTCTGGATCACCACATTGTAAGAGGGCTCCGTGTCTGGCGTCAGAGGTGTGGACTCAGAGGGGTCCCTTGTGAGGTCAAAGAGCAGAGGAGGGTCATGGTAGGTGACCAGTTTTCCAGAACATCGGCAATATTGGGTCTCATAGCAGCCCTGAGCTCCTGGCGGCTGGAACACAGGTGTCACGTAATGAACCTTCCACACTGCCTCACCTGGACGAGAAAAGACACGTCAGCGACATCCAACCCATGTGCCAACCCATCTTGTGTTCTACCTTCTCAGGCATTTTCCCTGTTCTTCCTCCTTGCCCACAGGTTAAGGCTTAATGTCATTCCATCCTTAGAACAACACTAAGAAATCAGAGTCCCCTGGTATAATTTTATATATCCTTGGACTCTGTCACACGTTTTGCATCTCAAAACATATTATTTCTTATAGATGACCCCCTACCTTTCTAAAGACAGTGATTCTTAGAATGATTTCAAAGAAGGTGTTTTCAGTGGCCACCCTAGAATAAATGGACTTGTCTCAACAAAGTGTTGAGAATGGACTTGAGTGGCTATAATCTTGGCGTCCATAGCAAGCAGGGGCTCATGTACTCACTGTCCTTTGGGTGCCAGCGTGCTGCGTGGAGAAAGGCACCACAGTAGTGGAACAAGAACTCATGCTCTGAGCGCTCGACATCTCCCTGAAGCAAAGGCATGAGGTCCTGGCCATCGATCACCCTGCAAACACACGCAAAGGGCATCAGGCAAGGGGAAGCTGACCACTGGGCTGTTTGAAGGATGACATTCAAGGAACGCCTGGATGCCTCCATCAGTTAAGCATCTGACTCTTGATTTCGACTCCGGTCATGATCTCGCGGTTCATGAGTTCGAGATCAGGTTCTGCAATAGCCTGTTTGGGATTCTCTCTCTCTCTCTCTCTCTCTCTGACTCTCTCCTGCCCTTTCTCTCTTTCTCTAGCTCTCTGCCCCTCCCCTGCTGTCTCTCTCTCTCTCAAAAATAAACATTCAAAGAAGCAAACAAACAAAATACAACCAAATCACAATTTCATGTGCAATTGCCTTTCTACTTTTACAGGAAATCTTATAGAACCTCTAAAAAATCTTATACTTTTTCTCTTATATTAGAAAAAAGGATCTTCTACCTCATGTTAGAAAACAGTAATAATAAAACCTACCTTGTCATAAGAAATGCAATAATAAGTGTCAGATAATCCTAAAAATGATCATGAAAGAATGAACACTCTCTTTATTCTCAGATACAATGGTTTCCTGTGTTGATAATCACTTAAGAGTTACTGTGCACTAATTCAGTTTAACAAGGTCACAAGTATAGAATTTTATCTCTATATCTTAGCAACGAACACCTAGGAAATCCATTTTTTTAAACTAGCATTCACTACAGCATCACAAAACACGGTTTCCAATGTTAAAATTTTGTGTCCCAAAGCCACAAAACATCTGATAAGAGAACTGAATGTCCAAGAGATGTACAATGTCCATAGACTGGAAGACGCAGAATTGTTAAGATGTCAATTTTCAACAAGCTGATCTATAGATTTAATGCAAACTCAACCAAAATCCCTAAAGGGTCTTTTGCACAAAGTGAGCAACATGTTCTAAAATTTACGTGGGAGAACGAACAAATAATTGTTAAAAAGAAGGAACTAGTTTGAGGATTCCTACTAAATCATTCCAAAATTTAGTACAAAGAAAGACTAATCAAGCCAGTGTAGTAAGGTCATAAGGGTGAGCATATGAATCAGTGGAACAGGAGACAATCCAAGAAACAGACCAATACATATGTCGGTCAGTTGATTCTCAACAAATGTCCAAGGTTATCTAGTCAAGGAAGAACTGTCTTTCCATAAATGTCACTAGAATGATTAAATATGTAAATGCAGGAAAAATAAATCTCAACCCATACCTCACACTATATAAAAAATCATCTCAATATGGACCATAAGCCTAAATGTAAAACCTGAAACTGAAAAAAAAAAAAAAAAAAAAAA